ATATATGTTAAGATTTCCACTCAGCATAGTAATCTTTAATTTTAGCCTATGATGTTGAATAATATTTGACATCATCTAAAGCTGCCACTTATTTGGAAATTTGTTCTCACTGGAGATTATTTAGATATGGTATAGGTAATATAAAATCTCATAACTGAAGTCAAAAGTATTGGTAATGGGGCCCATATGAAAACATGCTGGAATTGATTTGCACTGGCACAGTCTTTCCTAAAGTAAATTTGAAATGTTAGATGTCTTCACTGGACCCTTCAAGTACTTTCTTTGCATTTCTTTTTCTACTTCTCTCTTCTTCAACAGAATTATTCAGATACTAAAGTTGCTTGAGCACTCATATTTATTCACCATTCATTTGTCTTGGGTTTGCTTTGGTTCAATACGCCTTCTCTGGGGTTGTAGTTCAGATTAGGCACCTGTGATTAACTGAACTTCTGTGTATTTTTCTAATAAATTAATATCAGGAGAATCTGTATTTAGTGAATGTGTTTTGGTTTTATAAGCTAGCAGAAAAAAAACAAACATATTGTCTTGATATTTGTTTGCTGTAATATAATATATTATTGCAAAGATGCCTTTTATAGATAAAAAGCATAATTGGAAAGTTTTTCAGTGCAGACAGGGCTACTTATATAGATAAAGGGATTATGCATAAAGTGGAAGCAAGGGCCCCAGGGTTAGCATCAGAAGACATGCAGCCAATCTGAGAACATGACCTTAGCTGGATTTCAGATTTGCTGGTTTCCAATGACTGCTTTCCTATCAGTTTTCCTCATTTTCACATAGGAGTGTGCTCTGGACTGACTCATGCCTTTCTGCTCATTGTTGTATTAAAATCTTAAATAAATTGCTGGGTATGTAGTTCAGTGGAAGAGCACTTGTTTAATACTTGCAAGGCCCAAGATTTAATCTTACAAAACAAAACAAAAAAGAACAAAACAATTTAAACACAGTGAAAGAAACCAAAAAATAGCAATAACAACACCAAAACAACAATAACTTACTACAAAAACTAATATCTTTCAATAAGAAAAAATCAGACTTCTGTGCGATGTGAACAAAAGCAAGCACTTGTGTGGAGGCTCAAGAATAACAACTGCAAATAAGTTTTAAAAAGTAATGATAGAGGTGCAGAGATTCCGCTGTGGTTATGAGCACACAATGCTCTGCCAGAGGACCCAGGTTCAGTTCAGAGCACCCACATGAGGGCTCACAACCATGAGTGCCAGGGGATCTGATGCTCTCTGATGGCAAGTTAGACACCACATTTATGTGGTACACATACATAAATGCAAAAACTCTCACACATGTAAAAAGAACATCAAGAAATTTAAAAAGTATTTTTAAAGTAAAAATTAAGTAAAAGAGTACAGGAAGTTCAGAGGGAGATGAGTAAGGATGTGTTCTGGAGGTTATTAGAGGAGAATGAGTGTGAGGGTGAATTTATTCAAGAATTGAATACGTCTATGAAATTTCCAAGGAATAAATTAAAATATGTTAAACCACATATTGAAGGAATTATATCATTAATGGAAATAGAGACTTTTGGGGGTAGGAGAATAATTGGCTTAGATAATTTAATTTTAGAAACTGGTAGGAGATACAGAGATTAATATCTATTCAATACATTTTAAATTTAGAAAATGTAGTTTTGAATGAGAATATGCATCTAGGCTCTGGTATTTGAATACTTGGTCACAGTTGGTGGCTTTGTTCTAGGAAGTTTAGGAGGTCAGGGGTGGGGGAGAGTTTTGAATGTTTAAAGCCTCACCTACTTTTCGGTCCCTCTCTCTCTCCTTTATGCTTGCATTTGAGGATGCAATCTCTCAGCTTCAGCTATTGGCCCCATGCCTGACACTTACTCCCATGATGGACTTCTTATCCATCTGGTATCATAAGCCCCAATACAGCTCTCCTTCTAAATAGTTTCTTTGCTTTCTTATTTTTCACAGTAACAGAAGGTTGACTAACAAGGAATGAAGCATAAAAAGTCCGCTAAAGTTATTTTAAGTCATTGAATGGTTTCTTAAATTTTTGTTGAGAAAGAACATGAAGAGAAAAAGAGTTGAAAATATATTTATGAACTAAGAGGAAGACAAAGAATAAAAATTTGGAAAACAAGTGTGCAATGTTTTGAATAAGAATGTCCCCCCCCCCAGGTTCACAGATTTGAATACTTGGTCAACAAGGAGTGACAGCTTTTAAAAAGATTAGGAGATTGGGCACAGTGGTTCTCTCTCTTCCTGCTGTTTGTGGATCTGGATGTAGAACTCTCAACTTCTCCAGAAGCATGCCTGTCTGCATGCTGCCATGCTTCCTACCATAAATAGAATTAACTTAAACTCTGGAACCGTAAGCCAGCCCAATTAAATGCTTTCTTTTATGAGTTGCTATGATCATGGTGTCTCCACAGCAATAGAACACCAACTAAGACAAAGTGGATTCTACTTTTTGAAAGTAAGAAAGTAAAGAGTTATCAGAATAAACAGATATCATCAGAGTTAAATAATATGGAAAGAACTTCTTTATTTTATGGGCTTACTCAAGATGCAAATGCATCATGGTAAAATATCATACATTATAAAATACGGCCATATATGGTTGTATTCTCATGATACCATTTATTCTGTGGTTCATTCCTTCCACAACCATATCAATATTCTGTGGTTCATTCCATCCATAACCATATCAATAACAACTTTGTGCTGTTTGTCTTGGCAGACACTTATAATAGAAATACAGAAAGAGGGGTGGACACTTAGTAGCACAAATAGATATGGACATATGAAAGTACAATAAATGACATGATGAGAAGATCCATCTAGACAAGCATACAATTGCATATGTCAAAAGTGGAATTCAGAGACACTCAAAGCACAATGCCTAAAGTGACGGCCTTCCCGAAGAGTGTTCTTAGCACAGCCTGTCTTACTGAACTGTACTAAATTAGCGTGAGGCTGGAGTTTCCCTCCATTTCACATGAGCCAGGCCAATAGGATCATGTAGCTAGAGAAAGGGGAAAGAGGAATGTGAATAGTTATTTTTTTAAAGTTCACTGTGATCCTGACCTCAGCAGAGGTAATTTGCACTTTGGGTATTTTGTAGGGATTTGTAAGCCAGAAGCTTGCAGCCTGGTGCCCTGCACAGCTGAGCTGCCTGCTCTGTATGGCTCCTTTGCGTAAATGAGCGAAACGGATACTAAAATCAAGGGAAACTTACTTACGTCTACTGGCACTTTATATCAACTTTATCTACTGTAAGTCTTGTATAACAGCAAAGGGAGCTCCCATTAAGTCAGGTGTCAGACACGTTTGATGGAAAAAGTGTCTTTGTCTGCTCTTTTTGGGAACATAATAAGTATGATCAAAAAATTCAGATGTATCAATAACTTGACATTTCTACAGCCTGAAAAAAATGTATAGCTATAGCACGGGCAAAAGGGACAAACTTCTACATGGAAATGAAATTAAACCAGGCGAACTTGTCGGTGGGCTGGTTATAAGGAATTCTGAACCCTGTCAGAATTTTTTCAGTTGTTCTTAACTAAGTATATGGGGAGATTGCCCTAGCTATTGATATAACAAGAGGCTGTGGTTGAGTTGTTTTGCTGAGATGGGGTGAATAGACTTCTGGGAAGTATAGAACCTTCACTTTCCATTTCCCTAGAGGGCCTGGGTCTCAGAGGGCTCATCCATCTTAGAGTTTTAGGTGATATCTTCTTGGACCAAAGATCTGGGCCAATCTCAGTTATATTTCCAAGAAATGGGCCTAATTTAAGAAATCCCACTGTGGGATTCTGATACAGAGAGACGGGACACCAACGCTTAGTCAGGAACCAGCATTTATTTATGCTGGCACTGGCTTAGTGGATTCACATCCCAAGGCAGAGTCCTGAGTGAAACAGTGTACTGACTTATCCTTTCCTTAGTTCCTTTTGATATTTTAGTCCACTTTTTTCCTTATATGGTAACATCTTCTGACTGGGTGGTCTGATACAGGACCGGAATAAAGTTACTAGTGTCTACACATACTGATAGTGCCTTGTTGCCTTCCCTGTTTTCTGAGAAAGCCCTATCATACTCTGATAAGGAAGAGGTGGAGTGTGACTCGATCAAAGTTTGTAAGATTGGTTTGTCCAAGGTGGGAGCAGGTTGATGACAGAAGTCTGAAGTCCTGAACAGAGGGTAGCAGCAATTAGAAGAGCAACGGAGGAGACTGTATAATTATGTACTTAAAAGAGAATCCAGACAAAACTTCTATTTTCATATAGACCAAACAGGTTTGCCAACTAATGGTCCTTAAAAAATGATCTGCCTATTACAGCTACCAACCAATCCATACTCTCAGTTCATCATAAATTTTACCCATTTTCTTTATGTCTCTCACACTCAAAAGAAAAATGGGCTTATTCTTAGGAATTCACAGTTTAAGGAAGGGAAGGCTTGGGTAAGGCTGCCTGGCTTACCACATGTTAGTAGCAGAATTTACTGCAAAAATGGGATGTAAAATAGGAAACAAGTTGGTTTAAAAAATAACAGGATTTCTGTTTCATTCATGAGAAATTTTTAATATGGGAATTTCGATCTTTGGGAGACATCTGAAAGAAGATGGTAAATAGTAATTGGTGCTCAGGGGAAATGTTTCATCTAAGGACATGAATTTGGCAGACTTCTACCTAGAGATGCCATTTAGATTTTTTGAGAACTTATGCCATTCATTAGTGAGATTAGAAAAAAAAAATCCCTGGCCTCTCCTAAGAAACACAGCATTTTCAAGCAATGTCAAGAAAAGAAACTCAGAATGTCATTAAGTAGAAGAAAATCATTGGGTATGGAACCATTTCTGAGTCAAAATTACTGAATATGATTTCTTTATCATCTAATTTGAAGTAAACTTTAAAAAAAAATGAAACAGTTGTTTAAAAAACTTCTGCGAAAGTCATGGTTTAAAAAGAATTTTGCCGGTGGCACTTGGCAGAGTGTCTCCATAGGAAGACGCTCCCCTTGTCACTGCTGAAGACAGAGCAGAATCACCCCATGCTGGTGGAACTGAAGAACAGTGAGATCTACAATGGGCACCTGGTGAGCTGCGACAACTGGATGAACATCAGAGAGGTGATCTGCATGTCGAGGGACAGCAACAAGTTCTGGTGAATGCTACATCCATGGCAGCACCATCAAGTACCTGCGTATCCCTGATGAGATCATCGACATGGTGCGGGAGGAGGCCGCCAAGGGTCAAGGGCGAGGGGGACCATAGCAGCAGAAGCAGCAGAAAGTCCGAGGCATGGGCGGTGCTGGCCGAGGTGTGTTTGGTGGCCGGGGCTGGGGTGGCATCCCGGGTGCGGGCCGTGGTCAGCCTGAGAATAAACCAGGACGGCAAGCGGGCAAGCAGTGAATGGGCACAGCCCAAGCAGAGTCCAGGACGGTGGGCTAGCCTCTGGGCGCCTTTGCGTGAAGCCTTTGACTGCCACTGGCTCAGTTTCTGGAAGGTTCCAAGTCAGAGGCACCTCTAAAGCCTTGGATGTTCTTTGAAGGGCCGGTTTCTTCTAGGCTTGTTTTGAGTTTCATGTTGGAGCCACAGGTTCAGCACGTGTCGGGCTGCCCTGTCCTTCCCCAGTGGATCCCTTATCTCTTGTTATGAAAATAAAGGCGAGCATCACGGCCAAAAAAAAAAAAAAAAAAAGAATTTTGCCATGGGCAGAAGGATATTCAACAGACTGTACTTTGAAATTAAAAGCATAAGGCTGGAGAGATGACTCAGTGGTTAAGAACACTTATTCTTCTTCTAGAGGACACAGTTTTAATGCCTAACACCAAGTGAATAGCAAAATTTTGAGTCAAAGGCAAGCAGGCAAGTAGCCAGGCCAAGCATGACTCCATTCAAACTGGGAAGTATTGACTCTTCTGGAGATTCCAGGTGCTGGGGTCTGAATCTCCACACGCTGCCGAATGGTTTTGTCTGTTCATATCAGGCTGTAGGGAAGTGATAGGACCACTTATGGAGGTAAGGACAAGATGGCTCCAATCTTATCTCCGACACCATCAACCTTTAAGTTGGATGTAGGACAAATCTTGTTCTCAAATTACTGATGAGAATGCAAATGTCACTGCATAGCATGAAATGCTTCTTTATGAGTTATTGCTCACATAAGTTTTTATCATTTCTCTTGTTTACAATTGTAACCACATAGTAAGTCCCTATTGCTGAAACTATCATACACTTTGTCTATAGATACAGAAAAATCAATCTCAAATAATCCAGAAACTCTTTTCCTGTTGGCTAACTTTTACAGTGCCAAGAAGTGTTGTGCAGGGTGGTGGAGTTAAAAATAAATACAGCAATGATTTTTCTTAGCACTGGACCATGCATGGTAAATTACTGACCTGACCTGCCAGACAAGATGTGCTCAATGGTGCAATAGTGTCATGGTTGTTCTGGGGTAGCTGACTGCTTTCTGACTGGATTTGAGGCAGGCTCCATAGGAAGGAATTCATATCTGGAATTGAATTCCTTGTCAAAAGTCCATCTCCAGTGAAGAGGTGATAGGCACTGGAGTAGAATCTTCTATGTTATTTTGCTCACTGATGATACTGTCAAATGCTTTGCAGATGAGTATGCTTACACCATTCAGTGGAGCTGCTCTCAACTTTGGCCATATGCCTTTTGCAATCGGCAGCAGTCAATGCAGAGATGCATGACTGGTGGTAAGAATAAGATACTGTGGCTATTCAGCCCTAGATGGGACATTTTTATCAAGCTCCCATGCACATCAAGGTTTAAGCAAATGGAGGTAAAAGAGGCAGAAAGAATATATGAATTGGAGGATGTAGTGGAGTGTTGTTGAAATTCTGTGTGCTGGATATGACATGGCTGCTGTACACAAGGACTCACAGTAGCTGCTCAAGACCTGTACAAGTTCAAGTGAACTGTCAGAGAGACATGTTCACCAGGCCTCACTCCTTATTGGGGAGTTAATAACTGCTGAGAGAGAGAAAACTGTTCTTCTTTGAGGGCATGAGCAATGGTAGATTCCTCATAATCAAATGGATGGCCCCACAACTGTGTATAGTGAGAGAGCACCAGTTATCAGAAACAATGCATTCAGTGAGACAGTGGTTATATTGGGAAGATATAAGAAGTGCTGGAGGTAGAAATGTATGTGGAAGTACTATATTTTATTGTATATATGTATTAACTTCTCAAAAAATAAAAAAGATACATTAAAAACAACTCAATTCCTCATTTGAACTGTGTGATGGTTTGTAGATGTAACCAACTGTCTTATTAAATAAGAAACACAGAACCAATGTAAAAGAGAAAGCCAAGAGGTCAGAGCTCAGAGCTAAAACCTTACCCTTCCTCCTGCGGTGCTCCTACCTCTCCGAAAAAGAGTTACTTCTTGTGTTTGTCTTTAATATAGTCTTTCTGTTCTGCCTTCTCATTGGTTGTAAACCCAAACACATGACTGCCTCATCACTGCCTGTAAGTACCACCCTCCAGGTCTTAAAGGCGTTTGTCTCCATTGCTGGCTGTATCCCTGAACACACAGAGATCTACCTAGCTCTGTCTACCAAGAGCTGGGATTAAAGGCATAGGCCACCACCGCCATGCTCTTGCTATGGCTCTATAGCTCTGACCCCCGGGGCAACTTTATTTATTAACATACAATTAAAATCACATTTCAGTACAAATAAAATACCACCATAATAGTTAATGTTAATTGCCAACCTGAGAAGATCTAGAATCATGACTGACATAAGCCTCTGGCACACTTTTGAAGGATTATCTAGATTATATTAGCCTCTGCACATGCCTGTAAAGGATTTTCTTCATTAGGTTAATTGAAGTTAGAAGAACTATCCTAAATATAGGTAGTGCCCCTCTAGGCCCAGATATAACAAGTTCCCAGGGGAAAAACAAAACCACTGCCTTTCACCCTTATGTTTTGTTGTGAGTTCACCAACTCTGTTAGGCCATCTCTCCTGTCACTGTCATTGCTGATGATTCCATCATCAACTGACATTGGAACTCGTTAGTCTCTGGTCTTCTCATATTGACTGAACACAATGGCTTTCCAAGACCTATCCAAGCCTTCAGCGTCAGACCAGGACCACTGAGGCCTCAGTCTCATGATTCTCCTGGATGAACCAGCTGTTGTTGATCCAGCTGATGATGATGCAGGCCAATCTAACAAATCCTGTTTTAGTATGTATTCATTCTGTGAATATCGATTGCCTAGAGTCTGGGGAAGACACTGTCTGGAGTGGAATATCTGAAGGAAAAAAATCTATGTACACCATGCTGTTAATGTCTGTTAACTTTATTCCTCTAAGACAAAATTCCATCTATTCAGCTATAGCTCCATCTGGCATTCAGGGCAGGAAAAAAATCTAGATACATCAAGCTCTTTATTTCTCTGGGATGAAATCCTGTCTACATAACTTCAGTTCTGTCCTGACATTCAGTTCCTCTTTGTCTCCTCTTTTACTGCCCTCTCAGTCCTGCTAACAACTGAGCTCTTTTGCTTCCAGCCTCATATTCGTCATTTGTTTCTTCACCCTCCATCTCTACTTGCTCTCTACTCCTGGCTCTGATGAACTCTACAAGAGTTCTGCCTTGCCATCTAAGAAACCTCAGTGTTCTTCCGTCTCACTGGTCACACCGTTCTGTCTGCCTCTAGAGAAAATGCCTGTTTCTTCTTCCCCTACCCATTGGGTTCTCTGCCTTCTCAGGAATGTTGCTCCGCCCTAACTTCCACCTTGATATGTAAAAACCTCTTTTGTTCTCAGTCTCAGTGACTCTAGAGAGTCACTAGGCCTCAAGACAGAGATGGTCTGAACTTCCTTTGCACAAGAAACAAAGCTGTGTGTCTACTGCCTGTTTGGCTTTGCCTATGTGACCTTATCCAAGTACTAGCCCAAGCAGAAAGTTCACACACACATTCTATGGGAATTGTAAGCACAAGAAATTCATAACAAGGCACAGCTGAATAATAAGCTGTGTAACACCAAATAGTCCATGCTAGACGGCTTCCCACTGACCCTTGCCCTGGTCAAGGTATAGCTTTAATACAGCTGTACTCCTTTTGACATATTCTTGTGGCTCGCCATACGTGAATTCTGTTCCTCTAGAGCTCCTGACTAATAGATGCAGCATGAACTCTTACCCACCGAACCACCTCTCCATTGCCTGCATTTTATGAGTGCATTCTTGTAAAGGTCAAATCAGGGTGCCAACAGAAGATTAAGAGCTCAGTGGATCTGAAGAAATAAGAAAAATAATTGCAATGCAATAGATTATCTGGCATCTTTTGTAACATATATTAATTATAAACAAGGCATTTCATTATGACATTTTCATGCATGTATGTAATATATATTGATTATATTCACCCCATTACCTCTTTTTGTCACTAATATGTACAATTAGTATGTATTAATAAAACAATAAATGAATATGGTATCTTTTAATAATTTTACATCTGGTTTGTTCATAATTCTTCAACACATTATTAGTTGGCAACAACATACTTTGTCAATAGTATTTTTTTAGGCTCTTGTGCATTCAAAACTAAGTTGTTGTCATCATTAAGCATGTCAAATAACTTTTATAGATTAAACTGTTTTCAATTTCTTATGATTAGTATAGTTCATGTATTTTTAATTATTTTTTCAAGTATTAAGTATTATTTTAAACTCTGAGGCCAGATGCAAGTCACCTGTGTTTAGACTGTTTCAATAATTTACGTTTTATAATTTACTTATCAATTCTTATTTTTTATAATTCTTTAAAACTTATGATCCATATTCATTGATTGTTTGTGGGAAAGGCCCTTTTGTCATGGAAGGGGTTCATGCTCAGAGGAGAAACTGCAGGCGAGGCTTCTTTCTGTCCACTCTCCGGGAACTTGAAAGCAAAATTAGGCTTGCTTTACATGAATTATGACTTTTTAAACTCATATTTCAGTGACCCCATTGTGATAAATTCTTATCTGAACCATATTTTTAAGTAAAACAAATGATGCACATGATTTATTATACCTCATTACAAATTTGCTCATCATTTTCTTCTATATTATTTTCTTGGGCTCATTTTATTTATTTTGGAGGAGCTTTAATATCATAATTTCTATTACTTAAGGCAATTTTAAATTTAAACATATTTTGATTATATAATTTCTTTTGTCCCTACACACCCAACCTTAAGTTCTTTCTCAAGAAACAAACAAAAACACAGTACAACAAAAAACTCTAAAACCAAGAAGACACAAAACCAAACAAGAAAATATCAAAATGTAAACAAATAAAGTCACACAACAAAAACTGTGGAGTCCATTATTTGTTGTCAGCTTCTCCTGAACATGACCTGGTGAGGTTGATATACTCAGTGTTATTCCTTGGAGAAAACTGATTTTCCCTCTCCCAACAGGTATAAATGACATGTCAACTGTTAATCTTTACCCTAGTGGCTAGGTTTTCATTCATTCACTCATTTAAAAAATAACAACAAAATTATCACATTGAAGTTGGTCAA